CTCTCTCTCTCTCTCTCTCTCTCTCTCTCTCTCTCTCTCTCTCTCTCTCCTCTCTTTCTTCCCCCTATGGTTGGCTCAAAACTCCCGCTGAGGCCATGCCACCTGAAACCTCTCAACCTGACCAGCGCCTAGGGAACTAACTGAGTACAGGGCAGATCCTCCGTCGATAGTCACTGGATGGACATCATGTCAAGGCCCGATGTAGATCCCTCGGGCAACAAGTAAGGTGCGACAGACCCTGTGGGGTCGGAAGGGCCCGAGACCCGAGATCGCTCGGGGATAAACACTGGAGAAGCTCTCCTGTCCGTGTTGTTGGTAGCCACACACTATCACACGACAACAAGAGTTACGATGTCCTTCACACGCCACACACACATTGAATGGTCTATCTCACCGTCACAATAGTCTACCTACCACCGAATATGGCTTCATCGTGCCTCCTGCCACTAATCACATAAGATCTACCCCGGTTGGCAGGCCTGCTGCACTGGCAAGCACAAAGTTGGGACCAAAATATGTACACAGGAAAGATGTCTCGCTGGGTTACGCAAGAATTGACCCAATCACATCCCTATCAGAAGCACCTCACGCACACACATACTGGCGACACCCCAAATTCCGCCTAGATTCCGCTATCTTTGGTCCACACGTGCACTACGCTCCTCACGATCAGGCATCAACCTGTGGTGGTGTGGGAGGAAAAAGAGCCGCAGGCGCTCTAAACCCTGAACGGTCGCCGTGGACCCTTGCGCACCAACGCCGTAGGGATGGGCACATTCTGCCACCACGCACCGTCTTTCCTCGCCATCTCTACCTCCAACCAGGATGGTACTTCAGCGCGGTCGCCGGGCACGACCTGTCCGTCCGCCGTGAAAACCATGTCGTGGTTAGCGGCCTCATCGAGGACGGAGAGCAGCGTGTGGGCGGTCTCGGGAAGGGGCTTGAGATCGAGGCTCGTCTTGCCGCTACCGTCACCGGGGGACGGCGATGGTGTTGCTGCCGTCGGCGCCCCGGGCAGTCCTGGCGCGTCGGCAGAAGCCGCTGCTCGAAGCCCGGTTGTTGTGCGGGACCACAGCCCGGGGTGCCTGAGGAAGAGCGCCACAAGTTTCATGTTGATCCTCTCCCGAGGGTCTACAGCCAGCATCGCGCCCAGCACCTTCCGCACCTGCGTCGTAATGTGTTGTTGGTTGTGGGTGTTGAGTTGGTGTGCAGCGCTAGTGTTGTTGTATTCTGGTTCTTTCTGTGTTCTCTGCTTGCTTTGTACTGCAGACCGACCCCTTTCTGGGATATGCCCCGGTCGTGCGGGGAGGCACCGTGACCATCTCTTGGCATGGACTTCTAAACAAAATAAGCTAAAAAAGGGCGACCTTGTCCCAGCTTTGTTCAAATATCCTTGCGCCGTCATACCCGTAGAATCGAATAGTCAAGGCTTGACGAAGACAACACATGCGACTTACTTCGGGCAGGTGCCGGAAAACCCGCTGGTCTGGCCACACTCTCCGGGACAGGATGAAGTCGTCCAGCGTTTTCGTCTTGGCATACGTGCCGAAATACACCTCCTGTGGGATCAAGCACAACAACGTGGGGCGAAAAAACGGAAACTTTTCACCAATGCGCAACATGGGGGCAACAGGGTTGGTCTTGATCCTGTCGTCTCAGGTACATCAGCGGACTGCGGAAGCTTTGAAAGCTCCAGGAAAATTGTGAACAAATCTTGCTACTTCATGCTTTCGTGCAGCCAGGTGCTGGCATGATGATACTCAAGTCCGTCACAGTCATCTTTGTTTCTTCAACTCCAATAAGTCGAGCTGTCTAGCCGTACACAAAGTATTATAGCGGTATTCCCCTGTCTCCTAGTTCCTGCGTTTGTCCGAGTCACGCAAGCCCTTTTTCCGAATCGAGACCCTTCCTTCACGCTGGTATTGCTGGTGTTGATGCCAAATCTCATCGAATCAACAAATTGCAAAATGTGGTGAAACCTCCTTCACCGCTGTCGGGAAAAGGTGTCCGTTGTCGAGACGAACGGTTTCGAGAACCAACTAAACCCTAACTCTAATCCTAACTCTATCTACTCCAACCAGGAGCAATCAGAAATACACTGCGAAACGGGGTTGATGGGGCGGCTACGTCGCTAGACAGTTGTTGTGCCGACTCACCCTCAGCCGAATGATATCCGACGACGCCTTTATCTGCGTGCGCTTGCTCCGCCCGCAGGCGATGTAATAAAAGTTGGCGTTGGCAACCATCATCGCTTCATGGGCCTGGGCGATCCAGGATTGGCGCTCAGTGGGCAAGATGCTGTGAATGTGATCACCTAGCACCTGCGCGCAGTACATGTGCGGCAAGCGTAAGGGTTGGAAAATCATGAGCTTTTGATGCTAGAGGAGAGAGGAAAACAACGTACATGGCGAAATCGTTTCGTGCTCAGGGTCCACGAAGGAACGAGTGTACTTTCAATCACCACACGAGTGTGCCTCGATTTGCAGACGCTGTGTGCCCCGATAGATACACACGCCCATGAATCGCAGGTCAAAGAGGTTCCGACAAGTACACCACGCCTTCGCATAATGTAGCCCCCAAAACTCTGTCCCGCAAGCACTTCTGGGGCTCACTGACGTGGACTGAACCTTCCGCTGCTGCAGGAGCAAACCCTGCAACCGACGACCACTCACTTCGTGGTCTGTGGGCAGACGCCTTACCCTTGACGTCGCCTGCAAGACGACCATCCCGAAAGACCACACGTCCATCGAGGCCTTCAGCGGAACTTTCCAGCCTTTGGCAACGCCCATGGCCTCGGGAGGCGTGAACGGCAGCGTCACGTCTCCCACATCCGCCACACCAAGCCCTGTTCGCGAAAAGATGAAGATATGGGTAGGGATCACAGATGATAATAGCCAGACTCATGGTTCTTAGGGGCATCGGCTCTGAAGCAGGTTGAGGTCAGGATCCTCTCGTGTACGATAGCAGACAGAGCTAGGGTTCGCACGACGTCACACACGTCAAGGTCACTGCTACCACCGTCGACGATCTGCCTTGCCTGCGTTTGTATAGACGGTTGGGCAGACTGCTATGTGCTGTCTTTTCTGTTACTTTCTGATTCCTTGGTGCCCTCTGGTGCAACTGTGTATGACACAAACAACCGCTTTCGAACCTCCTCAGTCACGTTTAGTGCTACGTGCATGTCCCGCTTCTCTCTCTCTCTCTCTCTCTCTCTCTCTCTCTCTCTCTCTCCCTGTGTGTGTATGTACCAAAAACAAACGTGCTGGATATCATGCTCACTTCCGACACTCCCAAAGTCGGATATCTTGCACTCTCTAAGGTCGTTGGACACGAGCATGTTCGCAGGTTTTACGTCTCCGTGCGCAAAGCCCATCTCGTGCATGAAGTTCAAACCTAGCGCCGCGCCGTAGATCAGCCTTGCAGGCGTTGCGTCGATGTGGATGCGGAACGTTGGTAGTGATTCACCAGAGGTTTGGGGTGGAGAGAGGAGGCCACAGGCAGCACAGGTGGGGGTAGGTCGGGGCAGCAGCGGTGGGGACGGGAATACGGGAATGGCGCTCGCGTACCCTTTCAAGCTGGCGCGGCTCGCGCTGAAGACGCGCCGCTCACTGCGGAAAGTACACTGGGATAGTTCAATCTCTGTGCGGTCACGACAGCGAACCAAACGGGGAGAGGAGAGAACTTTCCTCCGTGCTGTACCAAACCGATAGATTGTAGGAGCAGTGAACGACCGCAATCTGGCATTTTCTCAAGACAATCGAGATTTTGGACTTCCTTTGACTTCCTGCCACCCTCCCTTTTGAGTGCTGTGAAGTTGGCAGTCAGACTATTGTTGCATGCGGGGCAAAGAAGGAAACAAGAATTCTCCGCGCCTTGCACGTCTACATACCGGGGTCCAGTTCAGAGAGAGACGTGCATTCTACCCTGACTCCATGCGATAGGACAGGGCTCACGCGAACCATCGTTGAATTGTTTCAGACGAATTGGCGAAACACTCGATACAGTCTTCCTTCGTCTTACTATTTTTGCGTACTTGAGTGGTCCCCCTGCCCCCTCCATCCCGAAACAACTTCTCTTGTGCTTCTGACAATGTATTCCGACTCACCGCCTGGTGTTTGGCCGGCCGCCCGAAGTACGGCTCTGCGTTCCAAGCCTAGACTGTACAGTATGAAGCGCTCTCTGAGAACGGTCCCACGCGACTTCACACATGTCCCAAGCATACACATGTGTCCTTCGTCGAATATGTCAAGCGTTCGAGGCAGTAACAAACGCAACGCCCACTCACCGGACCATCTGATCTTGTGATACCCGGTCGAGACCTTCCCTTGGGTGGTTGAGCAGATGCTCCAGGTCCATATGCATCTTTTCCATAACGATGCTCCGCGTTGCAATATTTGTCGCGAACACGTTCGTGATGTTGGGGTGGCAGGTGGGCATGAAGCTGTGGGGGGGGGGGGGAACCGGGAGGAGTCGGGGCGAGGGAGGGTCCAGGTGGCGGTTGAGAGACCATACATCTAAAATGGGATGTTTCACGCAATATTGGAAGTTCTACGAGTATTTCCGGATCTGCGCAGGGGCGCGGTTTGTTGGAGGGGTTCCAGCAGGCGGTGGTCTCATACAACCGGTGCTAGAGTGACCTCTGTGGTGGAAGCAACGACGTATGGAGTAGACCTTCCACCTTCCAATCGCCGGTGGATTTCGTTTCACAGCGTCACCTAGCCTATCGCAGAATCACTCCTCCAGGCGAAGAACCCGTTAGCATGACTTGCGACAACGTGCCCGGACTCTGCACAGACCGAGGTTTGTCCGTGGGTCGTGTCGTGTAAGGGCTAGGCCAACATGCCAGGCGTACCTCGCCAGCATCCTGATCTCTCTTATTCCCGTGTCCCTCTTCCCTTTCTTTGGCTGCATTGGCGAGAACGTTCGGGCGAGGTATTTGAGGCACCACCGGGAAAGAATAAGGACGGGCGTAAAGGGCAAAAGGGGGTGACGGCTTGAGAGCTTTCCTTTCAAGTGTGTGACTGCCACACACAGTGCCAAGTGTCAAGTTACCACAGGTTAGCGTTGCTTGGCCTTCTTCATCTTTCTTTCTGCCGGAGATAATACCCAACAGCCAAGTTCGAAGCGACCATTCACCCCGAACAGGCTCAGCGCCTCAACACACGACTGCTATTACGAGGGCTCACCTTCTTGAGCGTCTTCAAGACAAGTCCTCGTCCCACGCCGGCTGCGGCAAATTGGCCCTGAAGCTGTTCATCGGCGATCTTCAGATCGAAGACTTCTCCGCCTCCTCCTTCGCCTAGCTTCACTCCCTTCTCGGTTGCTACCACCCCAGCAGCACTGTCGCCGCGTGTGCCTCCGCTTCCTCCGTCGCTGCCGCTCAGTGGGAGTAGCGACGCCAGGAACCCGACACCGTTGAACCTGTCGAGAGTCTTTCGGCGGGCATACGTCAGGAGTGCTTCGGCCCTCGAAGAGAGGGCGGGTCTAACGCCTTTGCACTCAATACCGATCGCACCCCGCTGGTGCTGTTGCTTCTGCTGCGATGGTGGCGGCGGGGGCGGCGGCGGCGGCGGCGGCGGAGAATGCTGATGCTTCTGCTGCTTCTGCTGCTTCTGCTGCTTCTGCTGCTGCTTCTGCTGCTGCTGCTGCTTCTGCTTCTGCGTCTGCTTCTGCTGTGACGGCGGCGGTAGAAGGGAGGAGGTAGCGGCGGATCCAACAAAGCTATCGCCGGAGTTGCCGCCGGAGCCGTTCTCGTCATACGTCAAAGAGCCATCGTAAGACCCATCACTGGCGAGGGAGGGGCAACCTGAAGAGACGATCGTGGAAAGCTTGCCGCTGTCGCTGTGGTCATCGTCGGCGTCGTCGTCGCCATCGCCATCGTCTTGAGAGCTTCCCTCCCCAGTCCCGTCGTCGAGTGAGGGGAAGCCTGAAGAGACAACTGTTGAAAGCTTTTCGCCGCGGTTGTCCTCGCCGTCTTCGCCGTCATCATTGCCTTCGTCATCGTCGTCATCATCGTGCGTGCTCCCCTCCTCGCTCCCGTCAGACGTGTCGGAGCCAGAGCACGAACCAGACTCGAGAGAGGGGCAGGTTGAAGCGGTGTCTGGGCAGGGCTCCTCGAAGCGGTCGTGGCCGTCAGGCTCGTGGCCGTCGCTGCCGCGCGTGCCCTCCCCTCCGCTGCCGTCGGACGTGTCAGAGCCGGCGTAGGAGCCAGGTGAGGGCAGCCCTGCTGAGATGTGCTTGGAGGGCTCGTAGTGATAGTCGTCATCGCCGCCCCCTCCTCCGCCGCTATTGTTTTCGCCCTCCTGGGGACGTGAACAGCCGGAGGGAACGCTCGTGTGCGCAGACTCGTCGTCCTGATATGATTCCGTCTCGGGCTTCTGCCCTTGAAGCTCGGCCATATTACGGTTAGCCTGCAGCAGAAGGGCCTCCAGGCGACTTCGCTGTCCGTCCAAGACAAGGTTCTTCTTGCGCATCTGTTAGCGTGTGGAACACGTGTATTTTGGTGTTTGAGTTTTTCGCGAAGAGGTGTCGGGGAAAACAGACATTTTGCAAAGCCTCAGTCAGGTGGTACCACGCGGCATGGGCAAGCAGAGAGAGCTACTTGTTGCGGTCTATGGAACTGAAGCCGGATGGACCAAACGCAACGCGACGGTTGCATTGGTGCGAATTCCAACTAAACCCTACAGTTCTTGAGTCAACGAACGCCTCTAGTGCAAGTAAGCACTCAAACTTACGCATTGCTAGGTAATGTAGGAATCTCACACCTCCTTTTTTTTTCGGCATCCCATGTGTGCAGACATACAGGATAATTGGCCGTTTTTCTCGACCGTGCGGTTGGGCATATTTACACGAGAAAGAGCGCCGTTCGCGGGTGACGCAGGCAACAATTCCTCTGTGGTATGTGCTTCTCTTTTGTTGCGCGAGACAAGTGTTCAGCCGTTCGCTCCCGCCAGTGTACTCGAAGACAAAAAGTGTTTTTTATTTGCTGGGTATCAAATGCGGACGGAACACCTCGCCACCGAGGTTCGAACTCCGAGTTCTCAACTTATCAGAAGGTTTTCGAAACACTGACAAAATGGACCAGAAGGGACAGGCATAAGGCGACTTTTGATCGTCTTCGAAAGCACGAACCGCCATCCAACCACCCTATCCCAACCCCGCTCTCTCCCGCTTTATCAAGAGCTCACCTCTCGCAGCTCGGCCGCGTGCCGCTCGACGTCTTTTTGATGCAGCTTCCGTTGCTGAACAAGGGCCGCGGCTAGCCTCTCCTGGTCGCTCAGGGCCTTGCTGAGGAGGCCCTTGGTCCGCCTCAGCTCGGCAGAGGTGTTCGTGTTAGGAGAGTCTTGCTGGGATCGTTCGCGAAGTGGACGGTGAGTGGGTCGGGGCAGCTGCATTACCATTGGGCGCGTTCTGTGGCGGTAGTTGCCTCCAGCACTCTCGTCATCATGGACGCCATCGTTGTCACCACGCTGTCAGGTGACACAAGAGAGAATGGCGGGCGAGAAAGTCGTACAAACGATCACCATAGGCTTGTTCTCACGATAAAGGATCAACTAGTATACGCTAAGGGAGCTAGCCCACGAAAACAACAACAACAACAATGTTGGCAGCATCAACATGAACACTGATGGCAAGCAGCAAAAGCGCCGGTGGAGTAAACAAAACTAATGACGACAACCCGCGTCACCTTCTCCTGGGCAAAGTTACCCCCTGCAGCTGCTGCGAGTTTCGCTGCCGCTGTTGCTGCCGCTACCGCCGTCGCCGCCGCGACAGCGCCATCGCGATCAGACCGCGATAGCTCGCAGGCTTGCTTACGAGGGCCTCCTCCCCTTGCATCCCCTTGTGCCCGGTTCGCTGCCGCCGCCTCAACTTGACCGTCACGCGGAACTCCTCGTTCACCAGCACCGCTGCTGAACGGCGTCCCAGCCGGATGAGCGATGAAGGCTAAGCCCCGCGATCGTGCTCTTGCCGCGGCGTTGGCGCTTGCCTGCGCACTTGGTCGACCGGCATTGGCAACGACCGGTTTCTGGCGGGTGCTGCCCTGACGAACCTTAGAGCTGCGACCATCCCTAGTTCCCACCACATGGCCTTCCTTCACGAGGTGTCCACCACCTCGACCATCTCCCCAGTCCCCCTCTCCCTTGCCCACCTTGAGAGCAGAGAACTTCCTGCTGCTGCTGGGACCGCCTGGACACGACGCCGCCATGTCGGCGGGGGCGGCGGAAACTGACTTGACTCCAGGTGCAGGAGTGCCGGTCTCGAGAGAAGCAGGCCTTACCATACCGGGCGTAGCAGCGGCACTGTCGATGTTCTCCTCCTTGTGTGAGGATGCTGATGGTTTGCCCGGCCCGACCATGTTGCCTGCCGTCGCATCGACCTCGGCTGCGACTGCGGTAGCAGACGGAGCAGGGACCTCTCGCTTACTTTCGTCCGCCGTAGCCGTGGCCACGATCGCTATCGCCGGTTTAGCATTCACCCCCTCGAGCGAAGCCTTGACTGCTGTGGCCACCCCCGTCACTGCGCTATCCGTTGAGGCCGGCAGTCTGCGGCGCGGGGCGACGTCGTCTGGGGCGATGGCGGCGCCAGTGGTAGCCATGCCGCCTTTGTCGCCACTGGTCGCCGATGAAGTAAAGGGGGAAGGAGAATCCCTTCCCGCCTCGCCGCGTAGCTCCTTGATCAACGCCGTGAGCAGGATGCTAAGCTCCTTGCACACGGACGCCGGGTTCGTTCCTCCCATGCCGAAGTGTTCGAGCAGCGTCTGCTTCGTGGCGGGAGCGGCTCTCGCCGCATTGTCGAGGAGCTCGAGCACGGACTGGTCCTTGTTCGCGCGCTTTTTGCTGACTTGCCTCGCCCAGGTTGAGATGGTGTTGACGGCACCGCGGCTGCGATCGGCACCAGACGACTGTTCGAGCTGCTGCACTTTGATGGAGGTGGGTGAGAACCTTTGGGTCAGGGCGAGGAGGACAATAGCCTTGCTGACGTCGAATAGGCGGCTGGGCACCTTGGCAGGCCTGGAAAAAAAAGAAAAGGCAGGACGGGACGTGCGCGCGGGTGGGCAACGATCGCGTTTGTCACCGAATGGGAACGAGAAACATCTACCTTGCTGAGTGCCACCCCATATCAACTTCCTCGTTGTCACTACCACGCGCGCAACTTAAGCTTCAACCCAGGAAGGCATTGCAGTTGCTCTGGGGAACCAAAGACACCGCTCAACAGCAACGTCGAGACAGTTAGCACCATGGAGAGGACTGGGCCCGGCGAGCAAAGGGCAAGCCTAACCAGGAAGCCGCCCGGAACCTAACTACACCGAGGGTAATCGGCCCTCAATGATCACACAAATCTCAGGTGGTTGTTCGCGGTGGGAATGGTGGCAGTTTCTAGGCGATGTTTTCGCTTGCAGCAGACAACGGAGCATATGCCCCTGCGAAAAAAGCGGCCGAGGAATGCCGTTACAGTGGTTAGGAAATGTTTAGCCCGCAGGGGAAGTGCTAAAAGATTCAAGCGCTCACGATTTAAGAAGGTTCGCCACCACCGAAAGGGCTTTTGACAGGCGAGGGACTTCGTTGTTGTGATAAAACCGGGTCGGCGTTGTTGCCGTCGGTGGTGCTGCCGGACCAGGTCCGGGGGCGAGACGGAGACGGGGGCCCGCCGGAGTACCCGTCGAGCGGGCTGTAGCAGTGGACGACATTATCCTCTTCGAATAAAATTTCGTCGAGTACCTGAGAGATACGGCGGCGGTTGTGTGGGACAAAAAGCGGGTTGCCTATTATGACCTCCTACAAGTATACATCCATGGCGTTTGTGGTGAATGGACGAATCATGCTGTCCCATGACCGCCGTGTTCTGCGAATGCATGGAGTGCTGTTGCAAACGTACAACAACACTAGAGACTTGGCCCGGGCGGGAAACAAAATTCTTACGTTTACATGTACTACACTTGTATTGCTGTAGACTCCTGTATTCCGGGTGGAGGAGTAGTGTGTCAAACGCAGCGAGGCAAATTGTCGCATGTAAGTGCATCTGATTAGACTATTGTTTTCTTTGATTCACAAGAGTTTCGTGCGATGTCGTATATCATCGTTCATCCAGTGAATAGTTATACTTGTAGTTCGGGCAAGGACGGCAAATACGGGTCTGCGACGTACACGTTGAACTGCTGTGCCTCTGGCACATACACCTGAGATTTGGTTTTCGTCGCCCTAGCCGTTGCATGACGGAAAGCACTACCCATCCAACTACTCATCATCATGTTGGAACTTAAGATGCCGCATATTTTTGTGCCCTGGTGGAAGTGTTCGCTCTTCCATGCGTACTGTTCCGTACGAACCACAAATTTCGCAGGAGGCGTCCTATGATACCATAGCGGAGTCAAACACACGATGATGCCGATCGTGCGCACCGGGTGTGTGAAGAAAGGGAGATAGCCTGTAGAAATCTTGGCGGAAATCGGGTTTGTGACCCAACAGCACTGTTGACATTTCACCCTCAGACTACCGTACTCTGCAGACTAGACAACAGTAAGGTTATCCATCCGGACACCTCCACCGGACCGGCTCGGCATCAAACGTCGACCGCAGCAAGGCCAAGGATTTCGTTGATCACCCAACGGTGGGCGGGCGCCAGGCTCGGTCAATTACGCATGCTGTGCAGCCACCATCTAGGCATGTACCGCCCTTGAACGGTAAGAGTAGCGTCACAACGTTCGTTATACACATTCGATATTCTCCGCACTGTACAACCTAGGTCAAATGCACGGCCGGCCACAACTCGCAAAAACGAAGACCTCGCGGACGTCTGCGACGGGAGCATGTTGGCTCGACGATTTGTGCCGACCCACGCGCCGGGGGAGGCTCGAGACTCTATAGCTACCGCGGGCGATATTTTGTCGAAAGGGAGACACCTTGCGTGTCTAATACGTCAATGAACATACTGTCTGGAACGCGTGCCATCGTGTGCCCATTCATGGTGGGTATCATAGCTCTCACCGCTTATCGGTCTCTCTCCCACGGCGGTATCCGCAGGCAATAATGTTCTAGCGAACGCACGTACGTACTCGTAGATGATTTCTCGCGAGCTTAACTTCGTTGCGAGAAGTGCACCGCTGTCAAGAACCGAAACCAGGGTAGCCGTGCTTTGTGAGCAGGTGCGCGCTGGTGTGCTCCTCGCCTCGGCAAGTTGGTTATACGTGAAGAACAGAACAAAGGCACACACAAATATGGCGAACCGGAACAAAAATAAATGGGCGAAAAGGAACATTCGAGACGTTTCGTTTTCCCACGCGTCAAAAACATCAAACCAAACTTCATACTGCTGACTTATTCGTACGGAGTAGTCAAATACACTAGATGGCCACCAAGCTGTCTCGTTGAGCCTGTTACCCACAGGAGAGTTATCGCTGTATGCCGCTTGAGGGAATCGTGACACAATTTGACTGACTTGTTATCACACAACGCTACATAAACTAGAATGAGTTCATACTCCATATCCCGGGCTCTTCCAATTGTATGCGTGGAAGAAACACCTCCTAAAAAACAGCGGAAGAGCTACTGCTGTATCCGTTGTGCGCTTGTAAGGAAAAATAATACTTCGTTTCTTTGATAGAGATGGATTCGTTGTGCCATATGAAGAAGATATTTAGAAAAAACACACTGCATAATATTTTTAATGTGAAGACAACAACTACTTCAGGTATCACTCTATTTGTAGGTACCTTGCAGATAAACAGACAAAATATGAGTTCAGCGCGCAGGGTACAGTGGTGAGAGTGTGTTAACGCGCGGATCAGCAGAATATAGGTTGTCTAGGGCGTACGAAAACAGGCAACAGAATAGGCTTCGGATGGTTGGTGTGCGGCAATGCAAGAGGCCATGGTAGTGCTGGTGTCCGTACAAATTTACTTATAATCTACGCGCGGAAAAGTTGTAACACCACAGCGAAGTCCATAGACTACTTTTGGAAAGGAAAGTAGCAAATAAAGTATGCAAAATAATGTTGAATTATATTCCATGCTGAACGAACGGCTGTTCTACAGAACAAAGACAAGTATCCTTAAAATGATAGAAGTACTCCCTAGACTTGGTTTCTTAGCCGCGCCTCTGAAACAACGGTACGTGTCCTCTACAGACAGCGAGGAGTGACTTAGTTTTGGGTCAGCACAAGGTCTTCAATCCCGGCGGCGCGCCTCTCAGCCGATTTCTATTTACCACTGTGCCAACCAACTGCTGTCATGGCTGCATATTTCGCATCATTCCTGTTGGGTGGGACTAAGGTCGATGAGTACGACCATTCGATAAGCGCATTACTTCAAGAAGTTTACACAACAAAATAAATTCAAGACACCACTCCCAACAGTTATCAACCGTCCCACAAACAAATAAACACTCCATAGTAAACTATGTTACATACAACAACACACACGTTAATCCACATATGTATGTTGAGCACTTCCCCACGAGACTGGCGACCGACGAATCGGGACCACCGAAATGGCGTGTCCCTTGCGAAAGAAAAGGACGCAGAAAGGGCTCATTCACACCTTCACATCCGATATGATGAATTCGCCTCTCTGTTCGCGATCTACTACTGCTGTAGGTCCACGCACGACCCCCAAAAAAAAACATGGTGGTCTACGAGGGAACAACGCCTTAGGGCCATATTCCTGTGCTAGATAGGCGAACAGGGTTGATCCAATACATCGATCAGAAAGCTGCCTGCCACCGTTAAAGCCGAAAGGGGCACAAAGAGTGTGACACCGACAAAAAAAGCAAAAAGTGATGGGCTTCGACCTGCCCTTTTTTTTTGCCGAACAGGAGACAAAGACCGATATCTTCGTCACAACTTTGGGGGAATCTCACCCAACTTCCCCCAAAGCTACAGAAACCCGTGCGCGTGATGCAGAATGGGGTGTCGACAAAGACGGTCATCCAGGCTGAGCTACACCTCATACGCGCCTAACACCTCTCTTTCTTCTAACCCAGACTGTTCGACAACAAGCACCTCGGCGTCCATACCATGTTTATTTTCTCGGTTCAAGCCTGCCTCCCGTACGCGTCAACACCAGCCACCACCATCTTCACGCACAAGCCAAAGCGGTGCGTGCGAATACCTGCTACTGCCGCTCCGCCGCACTTTCTGTGACAAAACAACCTCACCACTTCAACACGGCCTGCGCTCGCTGCCCGCAGCTCAAGACAAAAGGTCCTACTTTTTGCCCTCACTACACCCTCCGCCGTCGCCGCCGCCGCCCCCGCAGACGCTGCTATTTAAATGCCGCGGCTACTTCGCCTGGATCTTCTTCTTCTCCTCCTCCAGCTTCTGCTCCAGGTTGGCGATGTTGCGCCGTTGCAGCTGCGCCATCTCCTCGGCAAGCTCCAGCTCCTGCTCGAAGATGCCGGGGTCTCCGGCCGTCTCCCGAACGGACTTGAGGTGTCCCCGAGCGTGCTCCGACAGCCAGGTAAACTCCCCGCAGCTAAGGCGAAGNGGGGGGGGGGGGGGGGTTCACGCGTGTCGGCAAAGAAAGTGACGAGCGCGCGTGGGGCGTAGGGGTGGGATTGGGCCTGAAATATAAAAAAAAAAACTCTTCGTTTGTTTTGTCTTGCTGCCCATGCAGAAAATAATTCAAGCAAAAACAATATGGACAGAAAAAATCACCAGTAGCAGTGTCGTTATGTCGATCCGAGCATACTTCGGTCAAACACTGACCCTTCGAGCCTGCAGCCAGGATCGAAGCCACACAATTCGCGATCTTGATCGACAAGACCACAGTAGTGACACAAAGGGAGTGAGTACATCGGAGGACGAAAATGCTCCTTCCCTTCGTCGCTCTTCACGCGTGGTCATGGGGGGGGGGGGGGGGGGGGC